GCTCTCCCCCACACCCCCACCTCGCCGACGTAAATTATCCCAATCTGTCTGTCGTTGGGCGCGTAAGTTCGTCGGATAGGACAGCGAGCGCGCACACAAACACGCACTAAATAGCTTGTGAATAACATCTCAGAGGTGGGCCGCCTCTCCCCCTCTCCCTCCCGCTCTCCGCCTCTCCTTTCTCTTTCTTCTCGCTCCTCTCCGCCGCCGCCCGCCGCGGCCGCCGTCCTCTCTGGTTGTCGTTGTCACTGTCGTTGTTCGTGTCAGGCCGCGCGGGTGATTTGTAACGGCGTAATCTATTAAGTCTCGTGTCGTTTGTATTTTCCACGATTTATGCGCCAAATGGTTGGGCCACGCCGCGCGGCGCGCAGGAGGCGCGCGCGCGCGAGCAGCTCCGCGACCGCGTGTCCGTCGCCACCACCACCTCCGCCGCCACGCCGCGCGCTTTCAGTTGAAACATGTGAATTAGGTGGCTCTTGTACTTGTACCCGTCCGACAGGCAGGCGGCTGCTTGTTCTCAACTGAGCACATTATATTACACCAACAAGGCGAAAATAAGGGAATTATTTTTGCTTCGTATTCTTTTTTTTTTTGCAGAGATTGTGCGCAGCAGCAGTTTGCGCGCGAGGGCTCCGTTGGTTCAGAGGCGCCTCGGGCTAGGCTCGAGCCCGGCGGCGGAGGGACGTCGACGGACAGTGCGACACACCGCTGCTGGGCCTTCCCTATGCCGCACAGCCGGGAGATATCCAGTGACGTGGTGAGCGGGCTGAGGCCGGGGGATTTGTGGTCCGTGGAAGTTGAATCGAATATCAGGCCATGCGAAAGGGGGGAAAGGGAGAGGGGAGGAGGGGGGGGGCGGGGCAGCGCGCCATGCCCAGTGAGAGAGTGATTTATTTCGCCTTGCCGTTCGCGTCCATGTGGGTGGCTACGAGCGTCTTCGGCTGCGCGGGTGAGAAATGTGACCGAATATCGCTTAGTCAAACGCCCCCCGACGTAAATGTATGGCATCCTCAAACATCTGGATGGGCTGGTTGGTGGGCGCGCGCGCGCGCGCTCGTTCGCTCGCGCCCGCGAGGGGGGAAAGGGGCAAGGGGTGGGAGAGACAAAAGTGATGAGTGTCGGGGACAGCAGCCGAGAGCCCGAAAGGGGCAAGGGGTGGGGGACGGATGCCCCTCATATGCAGAGGTTTAACAAAATGAAGGGAAGACAAGAAAGGCGAGTGGGCGTTATTATGTACGATGTTCGGAGTCTGTCGGGGGCAGTGAACTGCGGCGCCGGCAAAGAAATGAGCAGCCCGGCTGTATGTTTGAACTCTGCGCGGATACGCCGCGCTTTGTAGAGGCGGCGGCGCCTGCAGTGCGGCGATACCCCCGGGCGCGAGCGAACACTAGAGTCAGTTTGATTTGAACGACTCGCCGCGGCCAGGAAGTGTGTCAAGTTCTCATCCCGAACGACATGCCGAATGTACGTTTGTAGAGAATTTTCATACCGTTCCTAGTTTGGGACTTCTTGCGATTCTCATTCGGTGCCGGGTTGTCGTCAAGCCAAGACAGGGAAAGTTGCTTATGGTGTTTACATCTATCTACATGGTAGAAGTTTCCTCCGTTCTCATAGATTTTTTGATTTTCGAAAATTGAATTAATTTTTATTTTTTTTGCAATGTTCCAATTGCAGGTATTGGTGTGCGTGCACGTGACGGTTTGACCTAAACGACTTGGTGGGCATCGCTGACCACGTGTCTTCGAGGTTAGGAAGACGACGACGACGACGGCGACGACAACAACATGTGGCGGATTGTGTGCGCAGAGGTGAGTTTTCCAGAGACGTTGATAAAGAACGTTTTTCTCCTTTTCACCATTATTTGATTCCTGTTGACTGATATTACGCGCTAGACTGCCGAGGCCGGCCGGAGCGCAGTGGAGCGGACTGACGTTGGGCGGGGGTTGTTGGGTTGGGCTAGTCCAGACTATTGTTCCGTGTTAACCGCCGTCCCAGTTCGCGACCCCTGTATGTAAGCACTTGGGTGTGTTCCAGGGCCGCTGTTTGCCCCGCCAGTGTGCCCTGCCTCCTGTCCCTGCGAGCGGAGCTGGGGCGACCCACGTCCTGGTTCTTGGTTTGGTCCTGGTATCTGCTGATGGCAAAGTTATGAAGCAAGCAGCCGAGGCCTGGAGTTGAGAAAGGGTAAGCTACACCTCTCATTGAACTTTATTTACACTGATAAATAAAGTGTGCAGCTGGCGTGCACCTATGGTTGTGTTCAACACTATGGTGCACACACTTAGGTGTTGTATGGGAAATTTGAATACTTACAAGTGCTCAACACCAAATTTGAACACTTTAAAGTGTCCAAAGCTTCATAGCCCACCCCAGACTTGCACACTTTTAAGTGTGCAATTTTGCTGTTAAACACTTTTTTGTATTCAAATATCCAATCAAACATTTAAAAGTGTGCAACGTAATGTTGAGCACTTGCATGAACACTTTATTTATCAGTAAATGTCACACTTTAGGTAGAGTTTTGGTTTGCATGCCAACCACAGATCTATTTTTTTTTTAAATATTCTTCAGTTGCTGTGGTTGTTGCGTGTAACTCTGCATTAATCAGCACCCCAGCTTTAATCGCTTTTTAACTAATTTTTTGTGGGATTATTACCAGTTGACAGTTGTGGTCAACTATATCAATACAATTTATGAAACATTTTGATTGTGAAGGAGGAGGATTTAAGTAAAGGTTGTTTGTTCAACTTGCGTACCATAGTTCACCACCAGACTGAACTCACTTGCCATACTCCCTCACCCACCATCCCACTGGTGAGGGTCAACGTATAGCAGCAGTGGGTAGGCAGTAACGCCAAATTGTGTGGTGCGGGTCCAGCAGGGCCTCGAGGTACCAGTGTTACGTTGGGGCGTCCTGGAGTGCTTGTGGTGGGTTTAGTGCAAGTGGAATGGCCGCTTCAGCCCTCCCGGCCTCCGCGGCGGGCGGCGGGGCTGTTGCGCTGCCAGCTATCGGGCTATATTCTATTTACATCGGCCATTTGAACGAGTTCAAGCTATCTCGTCGGACTGAGTAGAGGCCTGACTGAAATATTCATGAGTTTTCTCGCGCGGCGCGCTTGGCGGGCTGGCAGGGCCAGGGCAGGTCGGGCGCGGGTCGGGGGGGCTGAAGCATGCCGGAGAAGCGGCGCAAGTGCTGCCGTGATGCTGCTGGGCCCCATCGGCGGAGAGGGCGGAGCGGAGCAGAAAAGTGTTGGCGGTGGTGTAGTGAAACTGCCCCTCCCCCTCCCCCGCCGTCCGCGAATCGAGGGCTGCATACCAAAATAATCGAAATAATTCGCTGGGGCTTCTCTGCAGGTAGCAAAAGTCGCGGGCTGTGTGTTGTTGCTGTAGGTTGGCGGGCCTGCCCCGCCCCCCTCCCCTCCCTTTCCCCTTCCCCGAGTGACGAATGTTCGCTTTGCATAACTTTGTCCTGCAGCGCCCCGCCGCCGGGCCATTTCCCCCTTTGCTATTGG